TTCTATAAGGAAGGGAACTTCTTGTTTCTGGGAACGCAGTATTTATCTTTGGGCACACTGATGATGAAACAACAAATTTGAGATCCAATTGGAAATTCTCATTCTTGCCTTGAACTGTCATGGGAATCTATAATATCTATACTAGTGTTCTTTGATTTTGGTTTCCTTTCATTTCACCACCTCTCCCCCCCCCCCATCTTCTAGAATTTAATATCTTCTTCAATCACCCAGCATGTGTATTCTTCCCTTATAAAGCCTGTTGATTCAGACTCATGCCTTTGTGCTCTTCTTCAGCTCTTAAATTTGCAACCGCTTCCTCTATCTCTGTTGAGCACAATAAATCCTCCTGAAATTCATACTTGAGATTTGTCTATACCTTCCTAGTAAATGGTCTGAGCTCCTGGATTAAGATTTCAAGGGTTCTTTGCCAATTACTTCTCAGAGCACCTCATGCTGTGCCTTCTGGAAAAGCCAGAAAGAGAACTGGGAGTTTAACCATTGGTCAAGAAGTGTTTCTAGAAATTTTTCAAAGTAAGTTACTGTTCTAGTATCTTTCTATGAACTTCCTGTATCCCTATATTGCTTCTGCTATTATTCATCTTGATGATTTGGGAGAATAATATGCTAGTACACTGGAAATTTTGAACTCATTGCTTAATTTGGGAGATGACACATTCAGGATTATGTGCTACAACATCCATATTCTAATTAATACATACACTTCAGTATAGGTAAAAGTTTCCTCATGGATTTAGCATTTTGCAAACTGGTCAAGATTTTTTCCATGTGTCTTATGTGTCATGAGTGGTAAGTATAAAAGGACCTAAAGGGAACAGATTAGTGCAGGACTGGATGACAGGAAAAAGCTCCAATAATTAGGTGACATCTGACATGATACATGCAAGAAGATGACAAAAATAACAGAAACAGAACATTGCAAGGGATCGTTTCATCTGTTCTGACCACAAGTCTAATCCTTTTATGAATTTCTAGAGTGGCAGGGTGGCCTACGATTTTGATTTAGATGTAAACTCATTTTACAGAGAGGAAAACAGACATAGAAAGGAGCAGTAATTTATAGTCAGTGTTAGTAAGGACTGGGATATGAATCCATTAAACATATCCTAAGCTCATGTAAATTGTTTGTTTTTGTTGACTGGGGTGGGCATACCCATGCTCAGGACTTACTCCTGGTCACTCAGCAGACCATATGTGGTGCCAGGGATCAAAACCAAGTTGGTCGTAAAGCAAGCACCTTAACCTGCTGTACTCTCTCTGGTCCTGTGATTTGAAAGTATTTTTAGAGAATATTAGGACAGTGGTGAGTAATGCTTTTCCCCAGATTATCTGTGGACACAATTGGAAGTATAAGTGGTACAAAAGAGAACTGTGCCTATGATGCATGGCAGACATGATGTGGAAGACAGGACCATGTGTCACTGGTCATCATGTATCACATATTAGAGAATCCCACCCTGAGTTCTCAAGGCAAGACCAGTCGGATGGTCATTGTTATTAGCCCTCTAGTATAGAAACAGTCACATTTTATCTTTTGTGGAAGTAGAACACAAGGAATGCAAGGAAGAAGCAATCAAATTAAATCTGAATATACTAAGAGAAAGTTATTAAAATTAAGATTATATTATGTCTTTATTTCCTTTTCTTTTCTTTTTTGGGTGGTGTGATGTGCAGGGTTACTCCTGGCTCTGCACTCAGGAACCACTCCTGGCAGAGCTCAGGGGTCCATATGGGATGCTGGGGATGGAACATGGGCCAGTTGCATAAGAGACAAACATCCTACCAGCTATACTCCAGCCCTTATATTATCTCATCTTTGGACATCAAGGGGAAGTCTTTATATTTCTATCTATTTCTATAAATGTATTATATCATCTTGAGGAAAGATTTGCAATGTATCTGTGGCCAACATCCTCCAAAGGCCACTGGTCAGGTTTGGGCCCACAGTGACGACACATAGGGCCTCATGGGATGTGGTTAGAGCTGGCCCTTTCCTCCCTGCCCCAATGAGACCCCGGGTTGCCACCCAAGAATGGCCTCTCTGACTCCTGATCAAGCTGCTTTATGGCCATGATCCAAGAGACTCAGAAACAAATCTCGAAACCCAGCAGCTTTGGGCAGAAATGCGTCTGGTCCTTACAGTAGGTTACTGGTGCCGGGCCACCCCAGATGGGAATAGGCTTCGTGCCTTGGCTTGTTCTCCCTGGTGGCTTGTTGGCCACCATCCTCCAGAGGCCATTGGACAGTCAGGTTTGGGCCTGTAGTGATAAGATACACAGGGTCTCACGGGATGGAGGTAGAACCGGCCCTTCCCTCCCTGCCCCAATGAGACCCCGGGTCGTTGCCCATGAATGACCTCTCTGGCTCCTGATCAAGCTGCTTAATGGCCATGATCCAAGAGACTCAGGAACAAATCTCAGAACCCAGCAGGTAATGGCAGAAATCTCTCCAGATTTAATTGTTAAAATTTTGGAATTCCAAAATCGCATGGCCACTACTGCAGCCACTCAACATCATATGTTATTCATAACAATCTATAAAAAACAAATTGTCTAAGGTTGCCTTTTTGGCAGATCTGATTGTTGGGGTAAAATCCCAATTAATAATGATGGGTCTGGTGTCGAAATATTGAATGTAATCAAAGTAGAGAGAGTAATGTGGAAATCATCTGCCCCACAGGTAGGGGGAGGGTGGGGATGGGTGGTGGAAAATGAGCACTGGTGAAGGGATAGGTGTTTCATCATTGTATGACCGAGACTTAACAGCTCTCATGGTGAATCAATAAATAAATTTATAAAAAAGAAAAAAAAGTAAGGTGGAGTTCATGCCAAATTCAATCAGCCTAATCAATGGCTGAATAATTAGCAATACTGCTACATTAAAAAATATAAGATGGGTACTAGATCATTGTATAATTGAAACCCAAGCACAAAAATTTATAAGTCTACAACTGTACCTCATGGTGTTTCACTAATAAAAATTTTTTAATAAGTTTTGGCATAGTCTGGTAAATAAAACACTAATTGTTCATTTTGGTGGATACTTGCTCTTTTAACATGTGGAATGCCATTATTAGTGAGTTTGAGATTTTATTTCCAGAAGAATTCCGTGCTTTCCCTAATTTCACTCATTGAAACACGGATCTGGTCTGTTGGATATAGATTTTTGATCAAAGTCTGCATTGTCTTCACTAGCAAAGACAATTTGCTCTGTATATTTGGGTCTGTTACTTGAAGTGAATTGCTAACCTCAATTTACCAACTCACCTAAACTATCTGGTATTTATCTTTTTTTTTAATTGATTCACCATGAGGTACAGTAACAAAACTTTCATTCTGAGCTTTGATCATACAATCATCAAACACCCATCCCTTCACCAGTGCACGTTTTCCACTACCAAAATCCCCAGTATTCCCCCACCCACCCACCCATTTCACACCTCCCCCTGCCTGTGTGGCAGACAATTTGCACAATACTCTCTTTCTCTACTTTAGTTACCTTTGATATTTTGAGACCAGTCCTAACCACCACACATACCTGCCGAAAATGCAATGCTAGACAATGTGTTTTGTATTGCTTGTTATGAATACAATATAATGTCCCGTGGCCGTGAGAGTGGCCACACGCTCTAGGAATTCAAAAATTTTAATAATTAGGGTATGAAGAGATAGCTGTAGCAAGTTGTTTGCGTCTGAGATTCGTATGTGTGTCTCTGGATCATGATCGTGTGGGAGCTTAAGTGGACTGTGACTGGATGTGGAATCATCTCGAAGTCCCATTGCGGGGGGGGGGGAGAAGGTCCCACTCCTCTTCTGTCCCATGAGGCTTGACGTTTGCCACCACCACCACTCGTACCTGGAGCTTGTTGCTGACTTCTAGAAAAGAGTGGCTTCCAGGGCTCCTAGAGAGCACCTGCCCCCATCTGGAGCAGTCCAGCAGAAATGGCCTATTGCAAAGACCAGGACCATCTCTGCAGCAAGTTGCTTGGGTCCGAGATTTGTTTGTGTGTCTGGTATTTATCTTAAATCTGTTTGAATATCATCAAGTGCTTGACTCTTATTTCATGGAATTAACTGAGTTCTAGTGAATAAATGAGTTATAAATTGATCAGTGTTGAGAGGTTTAACAGCACTCCTCATCCCAGGATATAGCTCTTGAATTTTGACTTAGTTTTATGTACATTTTTATAAGTGTATATAAAACATATATTTTCTATATTTAATATATAATATCAGCAAAGCCTGGCAAGTTCCCTGTGGCATATTCGATATGCCAAAAACAGTAACAAGTTTCACAATGGAGATGTTACTGGTGGCCGCTTGAGAAAATCGATGAACAATGGGAGGACAGTGCTACAGTGCTACAGGACAGAGCTAATATATAATATATAAGTTATAAAATTTATAATATATAAAGCATACTTAAAATTATTTTATAATTTTAATATGTAACTATATTATGCTTGAATGTATTATATATAATATAGACATTTAATTCTATAAAATATAAATAATATATATTTTATTTACATAAATATACATAAATTTATATACTTAAATATATTACAACATACAAAATGTTGATATATTTATTATATATTTTATCACGATCACGATCACGATCATCCTGTTGTTCGTCGATTGCCTCGAGCAGGCACCAGTAACGTCTCCTTCGTTCTAGCCCTGAGATTTTAAAAAGTGCCATATTCAAGGCTCTTTCAGGGTTAGGAGAATGAGACCCATCATTGTTACTGGTATTTGGCATATTGGGTACGCCACAGGGAGTTTGTCAGACTCTGCCGTGTGGGCAGGTTACATTCGGTAGCCTGCCAGGTTGTCCAAAATAAGAATGAGATAATAAGATGTTGCATTTGCAGCCGCGCGCTTCCAGGAGCTGGGTTTTATAGTCTCTGGGTCTTGACCGTTGATGGGATTACCTGGCACCGAGGGTAATTGGTGGGTGTGACCCCTGTCTACTGGAAGATGGAGGATCTGGGTGGAAGAGGCTCCTCACTCTGGAGCCTCACCCCCAGACCCAATAGCCTTGACTCCCTTGTACTTACACTCCCAAGTCTGGAATCCATCTTCACCAGGAGAAGAGTATTTATTAATGATGAGGGGGAAGAGAATGAAGATGATGACAGTGATAATGGTGATGACAGATATTTGTCATGATCAATCAGTCAACATGACCATTAATGTCTCAGAGGAGAGGATCTAAGACAATGGCCCCAACCTCTACCCTCAAAGAATTTCCTATACTAGGAAGCTTCCTACATTGGTAAGTTAGCTGAGACGGAAGCTTATCAAGTTGGAAGATCTCAGAATCAGAGAAAATGGGGCAAAAATTCTTGCCTTGACACCAAGTTGTCTTACAGCCCTCAGCAAGACCTTTGATTCTTATTTACTTTGGGGGCATACCTTCTGTGCTTGGGGCTTACTCCTGGCTCTGTGCTCAGGGCTTACTCTTGGTAATGCTTGGGGAACCATATGGAGTACTGGGGCTTGAATCAGGGTGGGCTGCATACAAGGCAAGTGCCTTACCTGCTGTACTTTCCAGCCCCTGGACCCTTGATGTTTTTTTAAGTCACAGATTCTTTATCTATAACTGTAGATAAGGTTACTATTACCCTCCTCAATTTAATTCAAATAAGCTGGAGCGATAGCACAGCGGGTAGGGCGTTCGCCTTACAAGCAGCCAACATGGCCGACCCGAGTTCGATTCCTCCGCCCCTCTCGGAGAGCCCGGCAAGCTACCGAGAGTATTCGATATGCCAGACACAGTAACAACAAAGTCTCCAATGGAGACGTTACTGGGCCCGCTCGAGCAAATCGACGATCAACGGGAGGACCTTTACTTACTTACTTAAGAAGGAGCCTGCAACACTTTAAGCTGATCGCCTGGCACAAAACACCTCCCCAGTCAGTGTAGATGTTGGGAATATGAGTATTGTTGTCAGGCTTTGAGAAAGCCTCCCAACTGCTCTTGGTACGATTTTCAAGAGCACAATAGTTGCAGCATCTACAAGATGCAGGCAGCAGACTCTATTTCTCTACCGAGACTCAGGATCCCCAGCCCAGGCTGCAGTGCACCAGCTGAACTTGATGTGGATTTCCATGACCTCCTTTCACATGTGCCCACACTTCTTCAGCCTCCAGCCCTCTTTTTGGGGAAAAAATTACTTAACATCCCCCTGGGAATGTACTTTCTTAAATCAAATAAACAGGACCCCCCCCCCAGTTGTATCCAAGGCTATTCCACACCACCCCCCATTCATTCCAGAGCTCCATGGAGGAGTCATAACTCCCTCTTTGGATTACACTGATTTAAACCAGTGTTTCTCTACCTTTTATTTGGCCATGGCCCCCTCCCAACCCCATTTCTTCCCTGTGTCCCACCCTGTTCTATACTTGACCCCTAGTCTCATGCCTTGCCCCTTTTGATATGTTTTCACCTGTGACCCTCTTGGAATATCCTGGGAGCTGAGAAACACATTCACAACCATGCTGAGACCACTCTCCACATGCATGGAGGAGCCAGCAGAGGAACACAAGCATGCAGATCCTGGGACTGAGATCTCCAAGCCTGCTTGGATCGGGGCTGAGCAAATACTTTATATGTTAGCTATATTATCATATATTTATATGTATAATTATATATTTATTATATATTTAATTTCCAAGTATGGACTTGAATTATTTTTATATAAATATATTTTATTCATTTACAATATTTGATTTTAATATATTTATATAATGCATATAGCATATCAGTTTTATATGTTTAATTTCTAGTTAAGAATTTTAATTATTAGAGTTTAGGTCACATTATTTAAATAGTGTTAATGTTTACACTGTTGTTTTTCAGTTAGAGTTCATTTTCATTGTGGAACCCAAGACTCACCAACATTGTTATGCCCTCATTATTTAAGTTTATCTCGCAGTTTCTTCCCCATAATCAGTCCCAACCTCACTCTTATTACTCCCCAAGACATTTTCAGCTAACGTTTTGCTTTCATTTGATATTGACTATTCCCTTGCTTTGTTTCTATCTGTACCACAGTTGAGAGGGGTCACCCATTGTCTGTCCTTCTCCCTCTGTCTTCTCCCTGTCTCTCCATCTAACTCTCAGTCAACCTTATGATTTCAACTTTTATTATGTCTACATAGCATTACATTTTGTATATGTGCTAGAACTTTAATTGTTCATCTTCCTATGGACACATGGGTGGTTTCCTTATGTTGACTATTGTACTCAGCATTGCAATGAACCAAAGGATATATATATATAATATTTTATGAATATACATATAATATTTAAAGGATAGACATATAATATTTTCTATTGGGAAATATGTCTGAATAAGTTGAATTTCTGGTTCCTGTAGAAGTCTAAAAAATTATTTCTTTTCTGTGAATAAGTTGAATTTCTGGTTCCTGTGTAAATCTAATTATTTCTTTTCTGAGAAATCTTCATACTCTTTTCCATGAAGTCAGAACCAGAAAACATTCTTAGCAAGAATGATTGAGGAGGCTTCTTTTCACCACATCCCTGACAACAAAGTTTTTCATTCTCTTAGGTGTATACCATATTTAATGGTGTGAGATTACATTGAAATTCTCTTTTGATTTGCATTTTCCTAATAATAATTCACAGTGAACACTATTTCATAAGATTACCGGTCAACCTAGAACTTTCTCCTAGCTCTGTTTCATCTTCTCCCCCAATTTGTGATGAATCTATTGCCCCTTAGCACTTCAGTTTTACTCTTTTGATGCAGTGCCACCATAGTACACTACTGCCATGTGCAACCATTCCTTTCCTTCAATCTTCACTAGTTATTTCAGAAAGCCCACATTATTCCACTACATCCAAACTGAAGCAAATATCCTAAAGGAAGTGTTTTCCTTCTTTCTGCTGATTCAGAATTTATCCTTTAGTCACAATGATGCAGAAGCCTAAGTTCTGACAACCAACTGGATGTTCTCGTTTTTGCCTTGTACTCTAATGGGAGTTTACGGCATCCATCCCAGAATTCCTTTCTGTTGGTCACCTCCACCCCCCTCTTCTTTCCCACTGATTTCATTCAGTGTCTTCTGTAATTACCCAGAGCATGCATTATCTCTGAGAAGGCCTATTGATTCACATTCATGCCTTATGCTTCACATTGTCTGCTAAACTTAGAAACAGCCTTCTTGCTTTGCATACTACACAAAAAAAAACACACCTGAAATATAGACTTGAGTCTTGCAGATTGGCCCAAACTATTTAACAAGGTCCAGGAGCTCTCTGCCATTTTCCTTTCAGAGCACCTCACACCATGCTTTCTAGAAAAAAAAAGTTAGAGGCTTGAGACTTTAGGCATCCATCAAGTGGAAGAGTTTCCAGGGGTCTATTCTACCTTTACCACCTATGTGATGTGTGTCTGAGGAAAGGGTAGAGCATTGCTTTCTTCTGCAGCTACCATTATAGATTGGTGCTGCACTCGGCAGTACTCAAGGGACCAATGATGTTGTGTTTAGGTTCTAACTCCACTTCACACACTTGGTTGGCACCCACAGTAACAGTGAAATATTCTTCTGCAAATTAGATATTAAATGTTTGCTGTTCTTTTGCTTCTTACAGGAGACTTGAAAATTGATGAAAAAAGGTCTAAAACAAGGCCTAACTCCCATCCACCTCCCACCAACACGACGGTAACATCTGTTAATATTAAGATTAGCTTCGACGATGAGTATGGCACATCAGGGCCAGTACCAAGCAAGGCCAGAGTTTACACAGACATTAATTTACAAAAACCCCAAGAATACTGGGATTATGAAGCATATATTGTAGACTGGGGAAATCAAGATAATTATCAGCTTGTTCGAAAATTAGGCCGGGGAAAATATGGGGAAGTGTTTGAAGCCATTGACATTACTAATAATGAAAAAAGGGTTGCTAAAATTCTAAAGCCAATAAAGAGGAAGAAAATCAAGCGTGAAATCAAGGTCTTAAAGAATTTGCAAGGTGGTCCTAACATCATCACTTTGCTAGATATTGTAAGAGATGTCGAGTCACGAATACCTGCTTTAATTTTTCCATATATCAACAACACCAACTTCAAGAAATTATATGACATGTTAACAGATTTTGAAGTTCGATTTTACACCTATGAGATTTTAAAGGCCTTAGATTTTAGTCATGGCATGGGGGTTATGCATAGAGATGTGAAGCCCCATAATGTCCTAATTGATCATGATCAGAGAAAGCTGTGGCTCATAGACTGGGGTTTAGCTGAATTTTACCATCCTGGACAAAAATATAATGTTCGAGTTGCTTCCCGATACTACAAAGCTCCTGAGCTTCTTGTAGACTATGACATGTACAATTACAGCTTGGATATGTGGAGCTTAGGGTGTATGTTGGCTAGTATGATCTTTCGTAAAGAACCGTTTTTCCATGGACGTGACAATAATGATCAGTTGGTGAGGATAGCCAAAGTTCTGGGCACAGAAAGTTTATATGACTATATTGGCAAATACAAAATTAAATTACATTCATCTTTCAAAGATCTCATAGGCAAACACACGCGTAAGCCATGGGAGCGTTTTGTGCACAGTGGAAACCAGGATCTCGTGAACCCTCAGGCATTAGATTTCCTAGACAAACTACTACAATATGACCATGATACACGAATCACTGCCAGAGAGGCCATGGATCACCCCTACTTCTCAGCTATCATGACTGAGGAGAGTTCATCTAGAAGACAAGAGAGCAGTACGCCTGTCAGCAAGACAGAAATTTCTTCAATGACAGCCCCTTCAATTTGGGAAGAATCCACAACAGTTTCTACTTACAATTACTTTGGCAAGACATCTCAGAAGTAATGGACTCCTTTGTCTCCTGATACCTAGGGAGGGGGGTACTTCAGAAGCAACCATTGCTTTTTGATTTACTTCAGCCATTAAAAAACTTTTGGAGGCTGATTTTTTAAAATTTCTTTTCCCCTCCTCTTATTTTTTCAAACTTGAAACTTTTCATAACTTTGGGGGGGGGGGTGCCTGTAAAACTACTTGCAGGTAAAATATTTCACAAACTATTGTTTCCCTCCCATTTGAAATTCTGGTCCTGGGCAACAAAAATAAAGGGAAAGCCAGTATAATTTCTGCGTGGTGCATTGGGTGAAAGTTTCTTCCCACACCCACATACTCCATGTGGATCATATATTCATAAATATATATTCATGAACACATGACTATATGTGGGATATGAATCCCCACATATCTCACAGTTGGGGCTTCACATCTCATGCTTTTTTCTAGAGATAGAAAGATGTTTCATTTCAAAGAAAGTAGCACTATAGCACTGTAGCACTGTCATCCCAATGTTCATCAATTTGCTCCAGTGGGCACCAGTAACATCTCACAACAAATTGTGAGATTTGTTGTTACTGTTTTTGGCATATCGAATAAGTCACAGGATGTCGGGGTCCTGGCCAGTTGACTCCTGCAAACTGGAATATGAATCCCCGAAGTTGCTGGACTCTATGGGAGAGGGTTGGGGAGAAGTCTCTGCCCGGCCCTCTGCACACAGAAGGATTCCTGCCACCCGCCACCACCGGGTGAGAGAGAAACCGGCCGAGAAAGAACAGAGCAGAGTGGAGGTGGGGGGTGGGGGAGTCTGGTGGTCAAACAGGTCTTCGTTTATTGGCCCCTACCCAGGGATTCTTATAGTACACTTAGGGCGGGGGTGGGGTGGGGCAATCCTACACTCAGGGAGGGGGCCAATCCCACGTAGGGCTCCTAGAAATGTCAGTTAATGATTTACATATCCTGCTCTTCCGGCCAGGTTAACGATATGGGTGGGTGGGCACAGTCATGTCCCTCATTCTTAATCAGCGTGCCTGTTTGTGAGGAGTGCTGGAGCAGGCCCCCTGGGTCTTTGTAAACAGGGCAGGCTCTTGCTTCCAGGGACAGGGGATTTAGTCAAAGTCTCAGGCTAGCTGCTGAGACCCCAACAACAAGGAGCTTGCCAGGCTTTGCCGGGCAGGGGAGATACTCTTGGTAGCTAGCCAGGCTCTCCTAGATGGGCGCAGGAATCGAACCCAGGTCGGCCACCTTCAAGGCTAATGCCCTACTCTCTGTGCTATCGCTCCATCCCTCAAAGAAAGTAGGAAGAACTGAAGAATAGAGCATCTAATGCATAAGATGGTGTACCTTTAACTTATCACTCTATTCTAAAAGTGATTCAGTGTGGTTATCCTGGCAAACATTGAAAATACACGTTGCTGACTTTGAGATACTAAAATCTACCCAAAGTGCAAAAAGATTCTGAAAGCAGTATGAATCATGTATTATTGATATAACCCTCAATCCTACTCACTTATGCCTTTAGTTCCATTTAGTTAAATTAAAAAAAAATACTATGTTATTACTCTCATTTTTTTTACCTTGGTCTTCTTCCCTTTCATTCCTCAGTGTGCTCTATTGCTGGTTGGAGGATGAGGGCAAAAGATTTTCAGTTTTTTTTTTTCTGACTTGGGCATTTTTTTTGTTTTTTGGTCGCACATGGCGATGCACAGGGGTTACTCCTGGCTCTGCACTCAGGGGTCACTCCTGGCGGTGCTCAGGGAACCATATGGGATGCTGGGAATCGAACCCGGGTCGGCAGCGTGCAAGGCCAATGCCCTACCCGCTGTGCTATCTCTCCAGCCCCTGACTTGGGCATTTTGAATTGTTAAATTGTTGTGAATAACTTGTTGCTTTTAGAAGAGAAACAGATATTGTTTGTATACATTTAGAGATGGCTACTCTTTACATGCTAATAGAAAATGTGGCCATTCTGAATTTCATTTAAGCTTTCTCCATACTTCCTTCCTGCTTTTCTCATTCCTCAAATGCCATCCAGTAAGAAGACTTGTACCTCATTCTCATAAATGTATCTGGGTGTTGCGAGCAGAGCCATTATATCCAGTGAAACAGAAATGGCTTACCTGAAATTGTGGAGAAATAGTTAAATCCCTCATTACAATCCTGACACTCCTTGTGTGTATGCAGCCCTTTTAAAAAATTTTTTTGGTAGAGAGATAGTGTAGGAGTTCTTTTTTCTAAATAAAACTTGGTTTGTGTGTGTGTGTGTGTGTGTGTGTGTGTGTGTGTGTGTAACTGTTCATGATCAAATAGGTAGAGATAATTTGGGAAATAAAGTCTTGTATAATTGGGCATCAAAGGACAGGAATTAGGAGACTCCAAACGAATGTCCTCCACGAACCAGTCAAATGACAAACTTTAGTTTAACATGGGTAAATGTATAGTCACGTTTGTCTCCTGCTGTGAGAGGAACACATGGAATGTACCAAGTTTGCGATGCACCTAGATGTACATGTATCTGTAGAAAGGTACCTGAATTTGAAAGCTATGCTATGTCATAACTGAATATAAAAGAACACTTTCAATGTTTCTATAAATGTGTTATAATGGTATAAGCAAAAATGAACAGTATCTGAACCCTGGGATCAGAATAGAGGTTTCACTTTAGAACCAGGAGAGAATGGACTATGGGTCTGCCAATCATTGCAGGCCATCTAATGAAGATGCTGAAAGGTGGGGCCATAGCACTTTACAGGCCACATGGAATTCTGTTTAGTCATGTGTGGATTCCTTTGAAGGGGGCCCTTAATGTTTTCTCTTAGAGATATAAAACAAGGTAGGTTCTTTGAAAGCCCTTTGTTGACACTCCAAATCATAAATTTTGTTTTGTTTTAGGGCCACAACCAGGGGTTCTCAGGGCTTACTCTTTGCTATGTGCTCAGAAATCACTCCTGGAGAAGATTGGGGAACCATATGAGGTGTTGGGATGGAACTGAGTTGACTATATCCAAGTAAAATGTCTTACCTACTAGTTTATTGCTCTGGCCCATAATTTTTTACTGCCTTTATTCCCTATGTGCTGTCTCTAGGGCCCATTGGACAGAAATGGGTGGGCACTGTGTCCTCACCTGCTTGAATACCTGTGTCTCATGTTTTCTGATGATGACACAGAGGAGACTCAGCTATGCCCTGGCCATCTCTTATGCCTTGTGAACCAGCCATCTGAAAATTTCAGACAAGTTTCTCTGTTGCATGTGAATCTCAAGCCCTCTTCTTGGTTTGTTACCCTTTTCAGGCATTTAATTCTTAAAGATGGGTGGGTTAGTGCCACTGTCTGAGTGTGTGAACGTCTGGGACAGCACAGTGTCTGTTGGCACTCGAAGACAATTCTGCCTTTCTTCTGCATTATGCTCCAGTGGCTATAATTTCCAGGTTGTTTCCTAAGTCTGTCGGTAGGCAGAGATAATTCAGTCCTTGAATTTTAGTTTAGTTTTTAACATATTTTATTTTCAATTGACCACTTTAGTTTGAGCCACATGGTTAAATCATGCCAATGTTTATGATATTGATTTTCAGTTACCACCTCATTTCCATGGAGCAGTCCAAGACCCACCAAATGTCCTTATGCTATTTTAGTCCAACTCACAATTCATCCCCATTAACAGACCCTAGCCATACCCGTTCACCTTTCACATCATCAATTTCAGTTCTGTTATCCAGGATATAGGTTTTGTTTTTATTTGGTACTATTGCCTTGTTTTGTTTTTCTCTAGACCACAGATGAGAGTTCTCACCCAGTGTTTGTTCTTTGCCACTTGGAGCCTACATGATTTCAACTTTTCATATGTCTGCATAACACTCAGAAAGTGTGTATGTGCCCAAACTTCTTTAACTGTTAATCTTTCCATAGAAATTTGAGTGAGTTCCTTGTGTTGACTATTGTACTCAGCACTTGAAGGGATGTAGGGGTATATGTATGGTTTTACATATATATATATATTTTAATTTGGTGTGCAAGCCAAGAAATAGTATTGCTGGGTCCTACATAAATCCAGTTCTTTCTTTCCTGAGAAATTGCCAATTATTTTTCCTCAGAGATAAAAGCAAAAAGTATTCCCAGCTAGATTAAATGAGAAAGAGTTCCTTTTTCCACCAACAGCATTGTTTGCTTCCAGTCTTTCTGGTATATGCCATTTTCAATGGTGTGAGAATTGCTCTTTTTTATTTGCTTTGCCATAATAAGTGACAGTGAATACAATGTTATTTATCTACTGACCATCCTTATGACCTTTGCTAGGAAGTGTATTTTCATCTTCCATTATCCCATTTTGTGATTGGGTATGTAAGAGCTGGATTTTCTGAGTCCTGTGCAGGTTACCTTAAAGCTTGTCTTTGAGATATGGGAATATGGGCACTTGTTTGGGGATAGAAATGGTTCTGTGATAAGCTTCTTGCCTTGCATGCAGCAAACTGGCACCTCATATGGTTCCTGGAGTCCACCAGCAGTGATCTTTGACCACTGACACAGGAGTAAACCCTGAGCACAGCTGGATGTGGTCCCCCAAAAGAAAAGCACCTTTTGTAACTTGGATATTATCCCTGTATCAGATGGACTCTCACATTTAGGAAGGTGTCTTGGTATTTAAATCCTTTTCCTTTGCCACAAAATGCCCATGGAGTTTAGTGCAATCCCACAAGTTCATTTTTGTTTTTATTGTCTTTGCCGCTAGAGTCAAATCACTGAAAACACTTCTGAGGTCTATAACCTGCAGAGTGCTGGCAATGTTTTTCTTAATGTTATTGATGGATTCTGGTCTAATCTTGAGGCCTTTAGTGGACTCTCAGTGAACATTTGTGTAAGATGTGAGATATGGATCCATTCGATCGTTTTGCTCATAGCTCTCCAGTTTTCACGGTATCAGTTGCTGAGAGGCTATTCTTGCTCTACTTTTAAAAGCCAACCTTGAAATAGAGACACTGTCTATTCACTTGTGGGTTTATCTCTGTGCTCTCAATTC